CAGGAGCAGAAAGGCTGATGTTTCGGGCCTAGATTTCTGATGAAGGGTCTAGGCCCGAAATGTCAGCCTTTCTGCTCCTGTGATGCTGCTTGGCCTGCTGTGTTCATCCAGCTCTGCACCTTGTTGTCTCGGATTCTCCAGCATCTGCAGTTCCTACTATCTCTGATTCAATAATTGGATTACCATTGAGTGCTCTCCCAGAGTAAATGTGATAAATTTAATGTATTAAATCTAATTTCCCATTATCACTAAATTCATTATTTTATTAAATCTTACACATTAAACCAATATCTTAGAACAAATTTACATCTTAGCAGTCTGTTTCAAAGATCATGTATTCCATTTTAGGTATTTAACTAACAACTGCATTGGGAAGCTATCTAAATCATTTGGTCTTGGTCTCTAAAGGTCCCATATTTAAAATGTGCGTCCTTCTACTCAAGTTCTCCAGGCTGTTGCCTGCTGTATCTCAATTTGTAATCCCTACAATTTCTCCCATTCACATGGTTTCTGTTTCTCTGTACCTGGCCTTAAGTGCAGTCTGTACTTCATTTCCCCCTGTTATTGGTGGCCGTGGCTTTAGCAATCCAGTTCTAATTTTTTTTCTATTACATTCCTATCGCCCTCAGCCCCACTCCACAAACACGCACACCTCCTCTCCTAATGACGCTCCTCAAATCCACCCCATTATCCGAGTTTTTGGTCACTCCTCGCCAAGTATTCTGTTCACTGCCACCTTCAGCTCTGAAAGTTTATCGTTAAATGTAGCTTTGAAATTGTTAATACAAAAGAGAGTCATTAGCACCGCTACTGTGATAATGTCTTGGACAGAATAGCTTAGATCTGAAAGAGTAAGACCTAACATCCAGGTTCTCCTCATAGTCTCTATAATAATGTCTATCATTAGACTGTGTCTTGTACTTCATTGCTAACATGCAATACACTGCTTCTTGTTTAAGTCAAGAGCTACTTCTCATTGGACTAGCTTGTGGTTTTTGTCTGCCACAGCAGACTAATTGGGCTTTTTAGACCTTTATCCTAAAGAGTTTGGTGGAAATGAATCTACCCTGGGTTGAGAAATAGCGCAGCCAGCCTCATACAATATGGCAGTCAGTGGTGGAGATTGCTCATACAACGTGATGAGCTCCAGGGTGGATTATATTTAGCTGCGTTATGCCACATGCTAACAATGGTGCAGGTCTGAAGATTTCTTCAGACACAGCTTTAACAATTCTGCTCTTCAAGACAGTCAGCAGCAGGAAGAACTGAACATTCAAGAATGCTACACCTTGCATCAGAATCCATCAAGGCAGAATCCACAGGCAATTTTAAAAGCATTTCAGGCCTGGAAGGAGAGATGTTGCAGCAGGAAAGTTGGAAACTCCCTGGAAATCCCCAGTCACTTCAGTGCAAGTACAATTACATGGGAGTTCAGCCAGACAGCGAATAGACATCGGCAGTTCGTGAGTAATGTCAAAATGCTTCATGGACAAGGGAAAACTTTTCAAAATGGTGCAGGGAAACTTGGAGGAGAAGTAACGTTAGCTCACATTAATCATTGTCACCATAGCCAAGAGTCACAGCTACAGTAAGTGAAAACATAGAGCACAAAAGCATTTCAAACCGAGATCATAGATTTTGGGATAATGCAAAGCTATAATTAAAGTGGTTAGGAGGCATAGTTGAAGCCTAAGTAGACAAGGTCAGAAGAAGAAAGGAGACTTTATTGAGGCCACAGAGAGGTCAGGAGATACATTATTAAAATGCTGTAAAGGAGGGGAACATTTATTTAAGTCATACACAACAGAGCCATTCAGGAGACCTCTGAAAAAAAAGAGGTGTTATTATTTAGAGCCATGAAAGATGGAAATTGCCAAGAAAAAACACCATCATTAAAGCAGGCATCATTATTAAACAGTACCAGGGTGGGGAATCCAAAATTAGAGGGCATAGGTTTAAGGTGAGAGGGGCAAGATTTAAAAGGGATCTAAGGGGCAAATTTTTTACACAGAAGGTGGTGTGTGTGTAGAATGAGCTGCCAGAAAAAGTGGTGGAGGCTGGTACAATTAAAACATTTAAAAGGCATCTGGATGGGTATATGAATAGGAAGGGTTTAGGGGGAAATGGGCCAAATGCTGGCAAATGGGACTAGATTTATTTAGGATATCCAGTCAGCACAGATGAGTTGGATGGAAGGGTCTGTTTCTGTGGTGTATATCTCTATGACTGTATGTAGGCAGCTGGATTCATTCAGTGATGTCACAAAGGAAATGGGAATAATATGTTTAGGCCCCAAAGCGTGGGATTTATCCAACTGCAAAAAAGTCACAAAATCCTACATTCAGTACATTCACGGCTGATTATCCATTTCAATGCCTTTTCACACATTATTGCCACATCCCTTTCTTGTCATTGATAGATTTCTAATTACCAATCTGTAAACATACTCAACAAATGAGCCTCAAAAAGCCTCTTGGGCTTGGGGGAGTTGGGCAGTGGTAAATGTAATTATATTCAAAAATGCACAAAAGTAACAAGGAAAAGGCTTGGGGAGAGATGTTGCATATGTCTGAAAGGGTTAATATTAAAATGTCAATA